GGCTGTTGGACCAATCATCACTGAGTGTCGGCTAACAAGCTAACTAGCTACCATGAACAGCTCTGTGGGCTGTTGGACCAATCATCACTGAGTGTCGGCTAACAAGCTAACTAGCTACAAAGCTAACAGCTCTGTGGGCTGTTAGACCAATCATCACTGCGTGTCTGCTAACAAGCTAACTAGCTACAAAGCTAACAGCTCTGTGGGCTGTTGGACCAATCATCACTGAGTGTCGGCTAACAAGCTAACTAGCTACAAAGCTAACAGCTCTGTGGGCTGTTAGACCAATCACTGAGTGTCGGCTATCAAGCTAACTAGCTACAAAGCTAACAGCGACATCGACCTGAAAACATGCTTGCTGGCTAAACTACAGAACATGGAAATTAAAATAAATGTAATTCTAATTAATCAGTTCCAGACTGCTCTTACCCTCTCTGTATTTTCTGCGCAGTTTCCTGTGAACGTTTTTAACTAAGCCAGACAGTTTCTCCTGCACCTGCTTGCAGGGTACTTCCTCCGAAATGGCCCCACGGAGCCTCTCCTGGAGCCTCTCCGTCTCCCCGGCCTCCACCCTGGGGTTCATGGTTCGGATCCTCCGGTGCTGCCTCAGAGAGACGCCTTCCCCCTCCACCAGACGGCCATCTGACCCGGCGAAGGGCGGCAGCCAGCAACGGAAGAGCCGATTGGTTGATCCGTCCCACATGCTCCAGTAATGGCAGCGTGTTGTCCAATCAGAGAGCTCTAGAATCTGACGGAATGTCGTGAAGCGTTTAAGGGCATCTGTAAATCTCGCTTTTTCTACAGAGAAGGAACAAGGCCGACAAAACAACAGAAGTTATTCATAGAGTAACATAATTTCTCCCATTGTTCCACACTTTTCTGGTGTTATCTTTAAGCAGACCATTTCCTTCATAAAGCTCAGTAATCTTATCAAAAGCGCCAAGTAAAATGTGCGTTTTTATTGATTTATTTTTCAAATGGACCAGTTCTGATGCAAACAAGCAGCTCCAGCGAGTCAAACGATCTTTATAGTCACTGTGTGACTGGATGTAAGACAGCTTATGTTTTCACACTGATATTCTGTTATTTCCTTGTTGATCCAATTTTTGTTTATCTGAGATTTTTTTTGTGAGAAACACAAACTAATGTTTAATTATGAGTCTAAGTTAAAAAATATGTTTGAAAATCTAAAAGTAGGACATTTATCCCTCCTTTACTCTATAAAATCAGAGTAAAAACATCATTATAATGGTCTCCAAAAGTCACCTTCTTAAAATGAAGAAACAGATAGAATAGACATGTTTATATTTTAATGCTGTATTAAAACAATCTGTTTTGTGAAGGCCTCAGATATTTGCAGGAGATGATTAGTGGACAAACGGCCACATTAAGATCAGCCAGGGTTCAGTCTAAACACAGGTTTAAAACAGGAATAGATTCGGAATAATAGATCAAGTTTTTGAATTTTAAATAACAAAGTTCAAGGCATGAGAATTGAAAAGAGTAGAGTAGGATTGCAGACAGGCCAGCTGACAGCCTTGGCTGGGTCCGGGACCACTGGCCCAGTTGTCAACCCCCCCGCCGCTGTGATTGCAGGTCTACCAAGACACCACCTTTCTCCTTAACTTACTGGATACATTACTTATACAATAGTTACTGGATTTCTTCAATAACAAAGTCAGGATAACCATTCTGCAGCCAGATAATTTAACAAGGGTTGAGGGTAAGAAGAAAGAACTTGTTTAAAGAAAGCAAAAGAAGCCTATTTCTGCAGAATAAGCAAATTAGCAGCTCACATGTAAGATGAAACCAATTTTCTTTTTGCTGCAAAATTGTATGCATAAGAGAAACCTGACACTTCAACTGGCCGTGAACATGGCACTGGTGGAGACCAACTGGGAGGATACTCTTCCTCAGCAGGGATATGGAAGCTGGGTGGTGTTAAAACAGACCCAAATGAGGCTTAATACAGAACAAAACAGCCTTATGGCAAGGAGTGTAAACATATAGACATTGGGGGGGCGGGCCTGATAATGAGGCTGGTAGCAAATGGGAAGAAGCTGTTTTTGTGGCTTGAAGTTTTGGGCTGAATGATCCATATAGTCCTGCTAGAGGGAAGAGTCTGAAACAGTTTGTGTGAAACTGCATCCTTTCTGCTGGCCTCTGGGATCTAGAGGCGTTTGGTTCCTTAGGAGAGGAAAGGTTGCAGCCAATGACCCTCTGCAGAGGCAGTAACATACTGCAGCTTGCCTTTGTCCCTGCAGCTCAAATGACTTCATTGTCACAGAGGGCCGAGTGATGCTGTAGGAATGATGGGGGAGGATTGGAAGCTAGCTGGATTATGACATGTCTCCATTGAGGTGTTAAAATGTCTGCAAACATTTGAGACAGCTGTTCAACACATTGGCCACATCTGGAAGAAAATACACATTAAAGGAGAAAAGGCTTCCCTAAACCTGCAGCTACGGTAGATTAGCACGTCCCTTAGCCAGAAAGACACGACTAAATCACCTAAATCCAAATCATTTTACAGATTTTCTACACTTCTACTGTCTAATAGGCAAAAACTTCAGTGTCTAGTAGAGCAAAGCAGGTAGACCTGCAGCATTAAATGCAGTAAAAGAAAGTCCATCGAAATATGGATTTTCCAGATTGTAAGAAATGTTTATCCTAATTATAATTTTTTGCCGCGTCACACTTTGTTTTGCTTCATTACATAAAATCTCTTTCCAAATAAAACTGCTAAAAGTAAAAGTTGGATAAAAACTTTTCTAAGGCTCCGAAAATTACAACAAAAGGTAAAAAAAACAACATAAAAATAGAAGAAATTCATTAATTTTATGTTTCATTTATTGATGTTAAACTCTTTGTGATATTTTTTCAATATAAACTAAATTTTGTGTTAAAAAGATGTTCTAAGTTTCCATGTAAATTAATCTGTGATACCTTTTATATCTGTCTTACTGAGGGTGTAAACAATCAGGGTTTGGGTTTAATTAAAAAAAGATGCCTGAAGGAAATATAAAATATAAAATTTAATTCCTGTTTGCTTTATAACACATTTTTAGCAAAGGAAGAAGTGTTTGGTGTTTGGAAATGTACGCAGTCAGAAATATCCCTGACAGGCTGATGATGACGGCTGCTATGCTGTTTATTGAGGTCTGCCTGTGAATCAGCTCCAATCTGGACTAATAATCCCAGATTCTCTCTGTTAAACTCATTGAGATTTAACCTTTAATTATATATATATATACATTTTTTATCACTTGACAATAATTTTTGTATTTTTCTCATTCCTCTAACTGAAATGTTTTTTGTACATGTAAAATATTAATATATGAGTGTGGAAAAAGTTTTCCTGCTGAGTTGTTTAGACTGATTGTTCAGTGATATTCATAAATCAGTAATAGATTATAGATTATAGAGCCGTCGTAAACAGATCAGTAGTTGGATGATATTCACTGAGCTGTTAGTGTAGTTATTAGAATAGGTGCAGGATTAAACTCCATTTCTATGGCTCCTCCCTCACGTTTAGAGTTAAACCACATAGATAGGCAGGTAGATTATCCACCTAACGATGCATCTCATTAGTATACAGGAGAAAACAGGTGGATGGGATGAAATGTTGTGATTGGATCAGATCACTGTGAGTTGAGAAGCATATTGTTGAGCTTTTAGTCTTTCCAGACCGATGGGCAGCGGATCTAGAATCACTTTTGGTGTCTTTTCTTTCTGGGTTATTGTTAACACCTGAAAGCCAGAACATTTGCAGCCCTTTGTTCACATGGATGTACTGATGAATAATTAATCAAGAGCAGTTTCCATCTGAAATCCTCCAATGTTATTATCAATAAACTTGGAAGCTTTATGTTTTTTCCTTGACGTTATAACTTTTTGTATATTCCTTAATCAATATTTTGTAGAGAAAACTTTTAATTAGTCTGATTGGGTGATGATCATCGGGGAACAGCAAAATTCAAGTGTTTCAAACTAAATTCAGATTACAGGTAGATTTATTTATCTTCTGTAGGTTTTTTCCAGCTTTATATTCTCATTCCACTGTCAGCAGTACAGAGCAACCAAATTCCCTCTCTGCATTTAACCCCTCCCCTGGGGGAGCAGTGGGCTGCCATTGTGCGGCACTAGGGGAGCAGTGTGGGGTTAAGGGTCTTACTCAGGGACCCAGAGTGGCAGTCTGTGGGAGTGGGCCCTAACCACTCGGCTGCCACTCCCCCAGAGTTCTGGCTCTGCATTTTGTACAGCTGTGTAGTGAACGTTCAAACCAGTGAAACGACCAACAAGTTGAACAAGCTGAGCCAGACACCCTGTCTACTTTTAGGCTAGGCTTAAAACTTTCCTTTTTGATAAAGCTTCTAGTTAGAGTGGCTCAGGTTATCCTGATCTATCTCTATAGTTCTGCTGCTATAGGCTTAGACTGCTGGAGGACATAGGGACCCCTTTTTCATCATTCTGCTTCATTCTATCTCTATTCTCCCACTCTGCAGAATCTGTTAGTTCAATCTCTAACGTTCTGCTCTCTCTGCTTTTTCTCATAGTAGCTTCATCTGGTCTGTTCCTGTTTGGCTGTGACTCCATCCTGGAGAGAAATATCAGCTGTGCTGCTGCCATCAACACCTTTGTTTCTAGATGTTGGAGCTTGGCCTGTTTTCCAGTGTAGTCCTGTTTCTCTGACTGTGACTAACTGGATGTGCTCTCTTCATCCTCTGACATGGGAGCTGGCTCGGAGCTCGTCTGCCTGGCTGTGTGTTTCCTGGACGGGGCCGCCTGTGGAGCTGGTTGACAGTTGCCTTTTGTATCTATGCTTCTTTTTCTATGTCTGCTTCTGTCTCCTTGAACCCCAGTGGGCCTCAGCAGATGGCCGCTCACACTGAGCCTGGTTCTGCTGGAGGTTTCTTCCTGTTCAAAGGGAGTTTTTCCTCTCCACTGTCGCTACAAGCATGCTTAGTGTGAGGGATTGCTGAAGAGTCAATGAGTCGATGCAATCAGCTGGTTTTCCTTAGATAGAAAACTTTGAATCAATCTGACTGGATGATCTGGTTGATCTGGATCTATAAAGTGACCTGAGATGACATGATGTGAATTGGAGCTATAGAAATAAACTGCATAGAATGGAAATGAACTTTGGAACTTACCTGATCAGAAAACCTGCTTGTGCAGTTTAAGCTTAGATGAGACTTTTTTCTTAAATGAGAAATATGCATAAGTTAAGTCTTTTTTTGACATCATAAGGATGAAAATAGAAACAGCTTATTTCATAAGCACAGGCGTTGCTTTTATTTTCACTTTAACAGGCCTTTTTTAACTGATTAATAACAATGATTCGTTGGGGTTCCACTAGATTTAGTCAGAAACATAAAGGCATACAGCTGTTTGTTTATTCTCTCCACAACAGAGACTAAACATCCTCCCATAGGGAAAATACAACAATTATTCTCATATGCATCATAAATAAGGTTTAATGCCCATAAAAACAGTTGAAACAGTTTTTTTTTTTCCCCCAGTGCATTTCAGTCTTTTTGCTTATTCTTAATTGGTGGCTTCTCCCCTTGACAACACAGCCAAATGACTGATATCAGGTAAAGCAGGAAACAGGCAAGGAAATCATAATGGTATGCCACCACACTAAACACCAC